CCCCAAAACCCCAAAACCCCAAACTTCCAGATATAAATAAAAACATAGCTTATTAACTAATAAAATGAAATAAATATATGAAAAATTAAACATAATCCAAATCCTAAGATTATAGGGCTTTCATCTTAAATTCATTTCACTCATAAGCGTTTTCTACTTCTTGATAATCATTGATTCCCTCTTCAGCTTTTTCCTATTTCATATCAACTTACTCTGATTAGATTTTTTCATTCCATTATAATTGCTATTGCTCCTTAGCTTTTGAATTGCTCATTGATTTAATATTTTGCTTCTTAATTTGGAATTCACCATTGATCTTGACTTTTTTCATCTTTTTATTTCCTTTGGAAGCAGTTAAAGGTCTTGCTATCTACAGATTGTCCTCATATTAGATCGTCTGAGATACTCTCTATTCTAATTCATTTTAGCCTTTCATTAATTCCTAAGCCTTATTAGCCTTCTCAATCTGTTCATCTGTCATCAGGTTATTAGTATTTCTTATAGATTTCAATCCAGAGGAAGTTGATTATCTTGCACTCATGACCCTTGCTGAGTTTATTCTCCCATTTGAACCATACATGTCTTTAGAATTAGAGTTTAGCACACTCTGGCCGCCAGCATTTAAACTTACGAAATAAGGATGCTTGATAAATCGATCTACAGATTAATTTATGCAAGAAAATTATTACTTGAATTTTTTCTAATCATATCGCCGATATAACTATAGTTACTGTAGTCTTAGTCCCACTTATTGATATCGTATGTAGCTGAAGTATGCTAAAGTTTTCTCAGGAACATCTATTTATAAGTTTCATTTATTTCATTGAATTTACTTAGTTTTCTTGATTAACTTTAATAAGGTCTCTAAGTCTATTAATTCTATTCAATGACTAAGAAGAGGGAGTCTTTTTTATTTGCAGAGTTAAAGGATTATGCTGAGTTGGTTTAATATCTATTTGCAACATCTTTTTTAGCAATATTTTATTTTCGTTTTGCATATCGAGGTAATTGATTTAGATTTTTTTGGTTTTCTAAGCTGTGCCCTTTTGCAAATGAGGAAATATTCTTGGTGCCCTCGTGTCTATCTAGCTCTTTACCTTAGCTAGTCTTCTATGATGTAGTTCATGCTCCTATATTGTAATTTAAGCATTAAATGGTAGATACCCTTAATTTGTCCTAATCTGAAATTATCCTAGAGGCAACTGCCTGTTTTTATATCATTTTAATTGAGTAATTATATTTTTAGTAAATTCAGCCCAATATTTAACTACAGTGTTTATTTTGGGGTTTTGGGGTTTTGGGG